ATGACCTTACCGGGCACAGAGGTGAGCTCTTGGTGTGGTGTCTCTGACTCCAGCAAACCTACACTAAGAATGTATGCAGCCACTGAGTGTGTGTTCTGGTTTTATTTTTTTCTCTCTATAAGTGACTGTGGTTAAAAGGCCCCCAGAGAGGTGAACATAGATGGTTAACGTTAATTTCAGCAACAGCAAGACACCGTGTTCTGTGATAAGCTGTTTAATTAAACCTTGCACCTTTTTAAATCTGGGTTCTATTTCTGTCTGGCTTTTGTTTCTCATCTTGTCTCTGTCTCTCCAGTTTCCGTGTTTCAGACATAGCCTCATTTATTTTTATCATGCATGATTAATTTAGTTTACATAAAGGGTTTCTTAAGAAGGCTGGGTAAAGTATATAAAGACCTTGTTCAGCCTAAATTTGGATTTAGATGGTTTGTAACTGTGTTCTCTTCAGCACAGGTCAGTCTCGCAGCTCTGCCGTGCCTCTTGCTCTTCCCTCCAGCTAGCCCAGAGAACCCTGCCAAAGCTGTCCAACAACAGCTGTTGAGCAACACACTTAATCACAGGCATTCCTTGCTGTCCAACTGCATATAATCACTGCAAAAGATGGAACTACTTTCAGAAAGTGTGTTAGGGAGAGAAAATGAGTAATGAAACAGAGAGGAAAGCAGCATTTCCTAACCCTTACCATTGCAGGGAGGAAGAAGGGTTGTTGTCCCAAAGGAGGTGAAAAGTGGTAAATGCTTTTTTGGTCAGTTCTCCGTAATGACACAGATATGTGTTGGGTAGAGAACATCAGTTTTTCAGTGTGTTAAGGAGTAGTGGAGAAGTCCTGCACTAAGTTGCATCTATAACAGCACTGGTGCATGCTTGAGGATGGTGTGGAACTAACAATTGCATGCAGGAAGTGTCTTACACACTGCTGAAGTGTGACTGAACATTGAATTTCAGTGGAATACTGACCAGCTAGGATATCTGATTCCTATACAGCCTGAAAGACTAGGATTTTTTTGTACTTTAATAGTTTCTGACATAGCCACTGAGAGCATTTGTTTGCTTCTTCCTTTAGCTTAACACAATATAAAATACTTAGTGAACATAAAATCTGAGATATTATTACTTATATATTTTTTTTAATTAGAGGAAGGAGAAGAAGAACATCTATATAAAACCAAAACATATGGCCACTGCACTGGTCACAAATTATTATTTTAATCGCTATTTCTAGGCAGCGAAGGGTCAGGAAAGCAAGCAGAGCACCAAAGTTATGCCCTTCTAGGTATTTAGGAGAAAATACAAAGACTAGATGCTGTTTCTGGAGAGTGTCAGCTTATTACTGTCTTGGTACTTGCCCTGACGAGGATATGGACTCCCCTGAGAAAAATTTGGTCTGCATTGGACCTTATGAAGTCATACTTAATCAGCTTTTTTTTTAGTCCCCATCAGGCATACATATGGTTTCAATTGTTTCTGAGTTTGTCTGAAGGCTGTAACATAAATCAGTACCAGAAAACAAGGGAAAGCTCTTTACTTTTTCCTCTTTGGCATAGTTTTGCATGGACTAAAAGCTAATATAATATGGAGAAAAGAGTGTAAGGGAACAGGAGACTTCTTAATAAGGGAGGAAGTGAAATGTTTTGAAGATGTAACCCCCTCACTCCCCCCAGTAATTTGGGTATTGGGACTGTCTGGAGAGATACTGTAGCAGCGGTGTGATTCATTTTTATGCTGGATCTAAATGGGTGCTCTCTGATTTTACTAGATGTATGAGGGCTTTCTACCCGTCCTGGCCTCTGCATTCCCCCAGGAAAACTTTCTCTTCTTTGTATGCATGCACAAGCACGGGTAGCCAGTGAGATTAGCAGGCACATACCATGGGAAAGCTGTGGAGTTACTGCAGACCATCTGCTGGACTTATGCCCTTTGTTGCAGGCTTGAGGAAGAGGAGACATATTGGGGTTTTGCTGGTTTTGTCATTTGTTCTAAAATTCTTGCTTGATAACAAATAGTGTTATCCTAGAAAAGTTTCTATCTAGTGCTTCAGTTCCAGACTTGTAATGAAAACTAGTGAGTAACAGTGCAGTCTCCTATCTCTTTTTCCTAAAGCTCATGGGTTGTAGCTGGCAGCCGTATAAGAGCCTAAACATAATAGTCAAAAATAACATGGCAGGAGCTGAGCAGTTGGTGTAGCACATATTCCTATATTGCTTCAGTTGGAACTCTTACAGGGTATTTGTCCTCCTTTGTCAGTGTGGAGGATTACCTCACTGACTTGAAGGACTTTACTGGCTGAATCCAAAATTACTGAATTCACAGCAGCTGAATACCAGCTGAGATCTGATATGGATGTGACACTGGAGCAGCATCAGCTATAGAAATATTGACACACAAAAGCCTGAAGTAGCGTGGTATGCCACTGCTGTATGGAAGGAGGAGGAATTCCCAGGTTGTTTGCCTAAGTTGGGTGGGTGCTCTGGCAATCTTGGGAACTTTGCAGAGTTCTGATAATAATTTTCATTTCACATCAAAGCAGATGTAACAATCAAAGAGAGGAAACTTAAGCTTAGGCAAAGTAATTCTAATGAAGTGTTTCGAAGAGGGGGGAGGAAAACCCTGAGCTTGCATGACTGTAAATCAAGTTTGTGTGGTTTTATTTGGGGATTCAGCAAAAATGTGAAATTTGTACGCCCCGGTGGATTTCCTATCAAATAGTTAAGTATTTGGGAATCATATGGGAAGAACTTTATGGTGATTTTTATAATTATGTACAGTGTGTGCTGGATGCTTTTGTGACTTGTGCATGCAAATTGTGAGTGGGGTGGGAATAAGGCAGTAGCTCATTTGAAAAAGGTCCCTCTTCATGCCTTGAATTTGCAAGATAACGAAGCTCATGAGTGGCTGTGTTTAGTAATATCTGGCTTTGTGTTGCCAGTTTTCACCCATAAAATATATTCAGAAGCAACTGCTACTTCAGTTTTTGGTGTAAGGAGCAGTCTAGCAAGAAAAACTGCTTAAATCCTCCGCCCAGCACTGTCACAACCAGTGTGCTTTGAACACAGGCAGAGACAAGCAGAGTTGGAAATCCACTCTAAAATGCCAGAACTGCCCGATTTTTGACATGGTCTCTTCTTGATGTGACAAGTCCCAGAAGCTTGCCATCTCATCTGAAATACGAGTGTTGCCAGGAATCCTAAATAGGTAACGGTGCGTGACGGATGGTTTGATAACGAGCGTTCATCTGGCTGCTTCTTGTTTTTTCCCCTCACAGTTGTCTGGTGGGTGTGAGCTGACAGTGGTAATCCACGACTTCACCGCCTGCAACAGCAATGAGCTGACAATCCGCCGTGGGCAGACAGTGGAGGTCCTGGAGAGACCCCACGACAAGCCCGACTGGTGTCTGGTTCGAACCACAGACCGGTCCCCAGCTGCAGAAGGCCTGGTCCCCTGCGGGTCCCTCTGCATCGCTCACTCTCGCAGCAGTATGGAGATGGAGGGGATTTTTAACCACAAAGGTAAGAAATGATGGAAGTGAAGTTTAGTTGCCAGCAGCGTGAGTTTTGGGTAACAGGGAGTACTGTGCAAATGGGAACTTTGGCATTCTTGTGCTGTTTTGGTTACTAGCTTTTAGTTAGATAAAACACAATGCTCTTAGCAGCTTGCAGCCACACTGTTTATTCCAAAACAAGAAGCCAGCAAATCTCAGTGTTAAGTGAAAATGTGGCTGAAGTCAGGGAACAGAAGTAAGCAAATTACATCTTGATGAACTGAGTTATGTGTTATGTTAGATGAAGCTGCAATGATAGGAAAATCTGTACCTGTTGTGTGCTGAAAGGAGGGAGGGAAGAAAACCTCCAGCGTGCATTATCAGTGGTTCCTGAGAAACTCTGCAGTAAGAGAGTGATGACAAGCTCAGGCTCAGCGATGGAAAGGGTAAATGCATGCATCTGTGTGCCCTAGCACAGGAATCGGCTATTTGGACTTCCGTGTTTTACTTAACTGAGTTTTCCACACTAGCAGTGGCATACTTTGTCCCTTTTTCCCTGAGCAGCTCTGAAATCTTACTTTACTTTTTCAGATGCATGAAAAAATGTCTGAGGGGTGCAAGAAAAATATCATTTTTTGACAGCTTTTAAGGTTTTGCTGTTCTCTAGTCCTTTGGCTCTGTAAACTCCTCAGGCTCACAGAACAGTTTGTTATTAGAGGAAATGCTTGCTTGCATCATTTGAAACTACTTGAATTTGCAGCCTGTGAGCAGAAAGCAACGTGAATTTTTTATAAAAACACCTTAAAACAGTCCATTAGAAGGTGCTTCATCAAATGCTGGGGTAAAAGATGCATTTTGAAAAGTTTGTTATTGCAACTAACAAGATTAGCAGGAAAGTGGTGTTTGGGAAAACTTCTTCTCCAAAACAAAAAATTCTGAGTTTGGGGAGTCTTTCATAAATATAACCATAATTTTTTCAATTATTCAGTCCATCCCAGATATCTCCCCAGCTTTTCCCCCATTTTTTTAGACACTGTATAAATGTGCTTGGCTAAAAGAAGGCAGAGTTGATGTTTGTTACATTAGGAGCATGCACAGCAGGAACTTCCTGAATGCAGTGTAATGGGGGGAGGTCTGAAGGACTGAGCTGCGTAGCTGAAATACTTTTTCATCCTCGTGTGTCCTAGCACACTTTGAATAGAGAAATTTTGCAGTTGTTCTGATGATAAAATTGGAAAACGTAGTTGGGTATCACTGAAACATTTCTTCCTTTGACTAGGGGGTGAAATCATGGAAGTTTCAACAGGAACATTTTTTAACAACACTCACAGTATTGATAAATGCAATTTCCTTTGGAGCTGAGGGGCTTCATCTTTGAAAGCAGAAACTTTCATTAGGAGAGGCAGATTGTACTGGACAATACATGTTATATGAAGAACATTGAGCCTGTCAGACTCCTGAGGGAGTGACAAAACTGGTTCCATCTTTAGGAGGTCACTTTTATGAATGAAGCCAGTGGACATAACCCGTATTCCGTTTTTTTTTACTTTTAGTGTTTGTTTGTGGAAAATGGACCAGAGCATTGTAAAGTTTCATCAGTTTTTTTTTGACATGTTGCTTTGAAATAAAGAGCTTTACTTATATTAATCATGGAGACTGAAGAAGAAAAGGCCATTGCTAGAGTGAGCATGATTTTCCAGGGTTAATGCAGCCTCAGAAGTGACTTCTGTCCCTGCCTCTGCCACAGGCTTCCTGTGGGCTGTTATGGCATGCCATCTAAACCCAGCTGATAAGAAGCAACTGCTCATTGTTTATTCCCACATTACTGGGTGTCAGACTTTAGGAGCTGGATGTTTAATTTGTAACGTTTCCCATGCATGTGACTGTGACTGAAGTCAGTGTGAACTGCCTTAAACACTGAGAATATTATATAATGTCAAGTAATCTGGGAAGGGGGAAAAAAGGAAAAAAAACAAACAACTTTAGTCTACTTGAAACCACCAGATATGTTTCACTTCGATCTCTACCTCAACTTTCTGTCACTTGGAAGAGGTTGACAGTGTTAATTTCACAGAGGAATTTAAAAAAGTAAAGCAAAAACAGTGAACTGCTTAGACTTTATTTCCCCCCCCCGTAGTGAAAAGTATCTCAGATAATCCCGCAAAGCAATTATTCATTCTCAAGTGCTGCATTTGACTAAAGATCTTTAAATAAGGCATTAGGGAGTATGCTAATCACAAGAATGGAAAAACGATTAGACATATGAATTCCCAAAATACAAAACAAAACAAAAACAAACAAACAAAAAAGTGAATTAATTACATAATTTAAGGCAGTCCATGCATTTGAGTGGACAACTTTTAAATGTTTTGTTTCCTAGATTTCTTGTGCTTGATTCTGCAGCTTCAGTCTTTTTGATAGAGATCTTTTTTCCTCCCTCGTCCCCCCCTTTTTTTTTCCTTTGGCCATAACTCAGTATTGAAGCCTCAAAATACATGTCATATGTCAGGGTCACAGTGCGAGCATCAGATCTCAGTAGCCACGTGCAGTAGACACGAGTCTGGAACTTGTGCATGTCTGGCATCACAAGCTGTTACAAGAGGCTCAGGGGGAGAGAGGTTTTATGTAATTCCAAAAAAAAAAGGGAGGTGATCACCAGAAGTGGTGGGGGTGGCTGCTTGTTATGTTGAGTGCTTAGCCTCTACAAATGGCTTGCTGGAGGAAGGAGCCTTGCACTCCTTTCAGTATCTATGGACCCTATAATTCTGATCTTTTTAACAGTGTTTTATCAACATTGTTTGCTAACTATACAAGCTGGAAAGCCACGGCACGTCAGAGGTGAAGTGAACTTCAAGGTTTTGAAAGAACAAATCTCTTTAGTTTACAGCCGGTTCTTAAGTTGTGTAAAGCCACATTTCATCACCAAGTACAGAAATGTTTGGTGATATTTAATGCCTTAAATAATATGAAGAAGGGTAACATGAAAGATTGCTAAAGCAGAAAGTATGTTCAGCAAAGCCTAGTTCTAACTAGATCTTGGTCTTTCTTTGTCTGTCCACATATCTGCCAACCATGAAAAGTAACACTGTTTTATTCTCATGGTAGAGGCAGCCCTAGAAATGACCCTTACCACTTCCCTACAAATGTAGGTGTTCCATGTCCTTTTAAGACTGTGTATTACTTTAAATATTTAATCACTGTCAATGGGTAAAAACCCCAACATTTATAGTATCTTCAGTCTCTAATATTTTGTAGTGGTTAAGATAACAAAAAAATTTCCTAAGAGTTCGAGGGAAGCATTATACAGAAAAAAAGAAATTCACTAGGCAGATAGTCGTTTAGGGGGAGAAATGATTGCAGGTTCCAGACCTCTTGCTCACTCTGCTGGCTATCAAATCTATTTTTATAAGTTACTTGGACCATTTAATCAATTTCACGTGATGTGCAGTTTACAGATGAGTACATTTTTAAAAATCTAAATCCCTTTTATAATCAGGAAAAAAGACAAATAAGTGGGTGGTGAAGAGGTTGAATAACAGTTGGTGCACTCTACAAAAAATAAATTACTAGCTTTGGAAGAACATGTTTTTCACAAGGAATACATAAAGCAACATTTTTTTCTGCAATGATTCCCCACATGTTATTGGGCGTGGCGGAGAAAGAATGTTCCTGTTGTTCTGTTTGGTGCTTCTCTCTTTTCTAACAAGGATTTCTTTTCATTCTGTGGTACATCCTTTTCATATGTGCAGTTTTCCTTCCTTTCTTTGCAGGACATTTACACAGCCACAGAACTTCGGGTACAGGGCAGGGAACAGAATTCGGTATAACAAAATTGAACTTGTAAGCTCAGAAAAATTGGCAGGTACTTAAAATTGTGAATATCTTGCTTACTTAGGTCACAAGTTCACTGTCTTTTCCAAGTCTGAGTACTTCTGAAGTCTGAAGAATTTGTGATAGTCCATCACATCCCTGATGTTGATGCTACTGTTTGGAGAGTTACAAAGGCTACAACAAGCCTTTGCCATGACGCATACATTTACATGTCTTCTCCATAAGTCATGGGGTTTTTTTCAGACCACATCTAGCTACCAGTTCATGTTACTCTTTGGTTCAAAACTTGGCCACAGAGATCTTTCTTTACCTGGAGGGTGCAATGTCTGTCTATTTTATATGTTCTTATAATCCAGGTGTCTATACAAGTTTGTTCAGGTCTGAAAGGCAGGTGATGCCTTAGTAACATGGTGACATCTGCATACCACTGCAGCACTGAATACTGGATTTTGGTTTTACTCTCAGGATACAGTCCTGACAGGTGCCATAAACAGAAAAATGTTATTTCAGCAGTCTTCTTTTTTAAAAAAATAAAGTGTAGCATCTTTCCAAAAATCTATCCTAATATAAGGAGTACTGAATGACTGATGCTTTCTAAGACAACGGCTGACAAAATTGTTTAAAAAGCTGTATAATAATCCCTTTTCTACACCTGCAGGATGGAAAGGGAGTGGTATAGGACAGGTGTTGCATATGTCAGAGCTTTTATTGAATTGGTATGGGGACCTCCTATCCAGAAATTATGAAAAAGAAAATTATGTGTGTGGTCTAGAGATATTTCCCCAGAAAAGGGAGAACTGGAGACCTTCTATTCAGAATATTAATTTTAGATGAAGGGTATGGGAGAGAGTAAGGGTAAAATAGCTCATGTATGATTGAGAGCTTTGAAAGTTAGGATTGAAAGATGAACTGTTTCCATTTTGAATTCCAATACTGTTAAGTAAGAAGAAGAACCTCTGGATAATAGCAACAGCAGAATCTCATCAATAAAACGGTATCCAGTTGGAATAATTGCAGGGCTCTCTGTATTAGAAGAAAAGAATCATAGAATCATTAAGGTTGGAAAAGACCTCTAAGGTCACCGAGTCGAGCTGTACCAAGAAGGATGACTTGGGCAGCAGTTGTGTGCTCACAAGCAGAGGGAGGCTGTAAAAGGGAGGGATTTGCTGTTGTGAGACTGGAAGCAGGAGAAGCATG